TCTCTGGGGGTGTTTTAACGGCCTCCCCTTTTTAGAGACAAAAACTAAGTACATACCCTCCTCTTGGTTCTGTTTATAATAATTGTAAAAGGCTGCTGCACACATACAACCGTATGTGTCTATCAGATTGCTAGCTTTATAAGTCTGACTGTCCTCCCTTTCGGTAGTACATGCTTAAGTACCTTTCGGTCCTAGTCAAATTGGGGCTTGGCAACCTCGAGGTAGTACATACCTAACAACATATCAAAAGGCAAGTCGTCGCTGACTAGGAACGAAATCTTATGATTACGTTCCCCACCTCCATAATAGAAGGTGCAGACTACATCCTTGTCATAGTCATCAACAGCCATGCTCTCTTTGTTGGCTAAGGTAGAGGCTACAAATCTACCCGGTCCCCTAGGCGCAGTCTCTCAACATAAGTCGCAATGTCTATGAAGGCACCACATTTGTGGCCACCTACACCGACTTCCACAACGAAGTGCTTCCCTCTAGGACCTCTACTTAGTGCCACCCAAGACTCACGAGGGTCCCTTGCCGACCACTCACTTTGAAAGTCCTCTAAGGCTTCAGACACATCCACTGAACAAAGTATCGTTGGGTCTGCATGTGTCTACGGGTTGACTAAAGAGTCAATAACATCGGCCAACTCTTGAAGTGGGGAGGGTACATCACCCACTTCATCAGGAGTAGAAGCAGCTACAACTTCTATTGTCCTGATGTGTTTCCCAAGTAGGAGCTTGTAGAAGCCCCACCATGGGAATAACAATTCCCAAAGCCACCTTTGGGAGGTATCTTATGTGATACCTTCGCGTTCTTGCATCTACACTGCTGATGGCCATACTCGCCGCAATTGATGCAAGCTCCTCGGGAGTAGTGGTCTCGCCACACATCTTGTTCCAGGCCCACCCTTACCCAAGCTGGTATCTTGTTTGTGTTTTGGGTCTGCCCTTGACTCTTTGATTGACCGCCCTTGTCGCGGCCGCCTACCTTAACCTTTACCATCGAGGTGAGATTGCTACCCTCACCACTATCCTCGTCCTCAAACTGTGTTCGGTCCAAGTCGAAGTAATCATCGATCTCAGTTTGATTCCCTTCGGAATCAACCATCATCAATCGACTACCTTTCTTTTTCCACTCTTGTGGACTCTTCTTTCTTCCGTCTGTAGGGGTTTGTTGGGCTCCTCCTAGCTTAGCCTCTAAGTGTAGGGCCTTCTTGCTCAAGGAGTCCAGCGTGTGATATTCTATGTTGGCCTCACTAACCAGCAGGTTCTTGATGTTTGTGGGAAGACATCTCAAGTACATGGTCACGAGCACCTGTCGATCATAGCGCACGCCAGGGACGACAATGAGGCGCTCCATGGCAGAGGTAAGCTCACGTACAGACTTGTACTTCTTAGTATCAAGCCTGGTCAACACACGAGTGGCCTGCTGGGCCTGCTGCGGGTTGTGCCATCGCGTTTCTACCAATTCCATGAAGCTCTCAAGAGTATGGGTCTTAGCCCAATCATTCATGCGCCTGCCAAACCCTTTCGAGGCTACTAATCCATCTAGCCATCACGCTGCCGAACCCTCCAGATACGAGGTGTCAGTGATCACCTCTTTCTCTAACAGCGTCCTCTTTGCCCTTACCCCCACACTGGCACTGTTCTCAACCAAGTGTCGAGAGCCTCATCCCTGATCACCTCTTTCTCTAACAGCGTCCTCTTTGCCCCGTTCTCAACCAAGTGTCAAGAGCCTCATCCGTCTTATCACCTTAGAAGATTGAGGGTGGTTTCAGAGGAGTCTTGTGGTACCAAGGCTGCTGTTGTCCCAATGGTGGGACTGGCTGTTGTGTAGCACCAGCCTCTGGACCAGAATATGAAGAAGCAACAGTCTGTGACGTTGCTGCTGACGTACCGCCTTGTGAACTGCTAAACTGAGACATAGTGGGACTTGTCATCACCGACGAGGAAACCAGTGATGGGAAAACTGGAGGCCGGAAACTGCACCCGCCTGTTGGAGATGGAAAAGCCCTTCCCATTCCCTGCATGGCACTCAGTACCTGGTCAAGGGTATCCTGGATAGCGTCCAGTTTGTTGTCCATGTAAGCGTGCGTGGACAGTAGACCTGCCTTGAGGATCCTCGTGTTATCATCAATGACAACGTCATCTAACCCTTCTACAGCAGCTTTGACTGCCCTCCTATTCTTTAGTCTGGCTTTCCTAGTTCTGATCTTCGTTTCTCTTTCAGTAGCTTCTCCAAGTTCCTTCTCTAACCGTGAGCGGATCGACTCCACTTGTTGGAGTTCGATGGCCTCTCTAGTGCATGGAGGTGGCCTCTCTAGTGCATGGAGGTGGCGAGCTGTATTGCGAGCCTGCCATCTGATTGGAAGAACTGCTTGACGCCACTGTGCTGGATTTGGTTTGCGGACTCCGCGGCATGCCTACGCTCATCTGACTAGATGTAACGGCTGAAGTAGCAGCAGAAGTAGCCATAGCTGCTGCAGTGGCTGTTGCCGCTGCTAGCGCTTGCTTGGCTTCTGCCGCCGCTTCTCTAGCCCTCTGCAAGGGTTCAGCTACCGCTTCCTGTCACAAAGCCCTCTCTCCCTCAGGTGGTAAAGCTCGGTGCACGATTGGGATCCGAATGGACTCCTGACGTGTCACTCTTCTTCCTACAGATCTATCCTCACCACTGCCTGGTCCACTCATCAGCGAGGCAGACACTGTCTGCACTACCGCCCTCACTGGAGCCTACCGCAGCATGTGTTTGACCAGGTTGTAAAAATAATAAAAATAAAATAATATCTGGCAAGTCACCTAGGCTACCGTTCAAGCGGTATCAACAGCATTCACACAAACTGTACACATGATCTACTCCTACCTTGATTAGTTTCACTCCCAGCAGCTTCGATCAGCACTGGTTATGGCAGAACACTACAGTACTGATCCAGGCTGTCTGTTAGGTGCTAGCAGTCTGTCCACCAACTAATCAAAAAAAAAAAAAAATCATGTGAGCAGATGTATGCACAATGGATATGGTTGTGATATACATTTGAGCATCAATTGGAATCCCCTTTCCCCTGTATCCAATGTACCTGTCCGCATCATCAAGCAACGGTGTCTAAGGTGTGCATTAACGGCCCACCCCTGTGCCCAGGAATATGCTTATGACCAGTACTGCGCTTTCTTTATCCTCGCGTGCTCGAGCCTTACGTTTGACTGATTTGGCTGATCAAGAGGCAGTTTAAGGACAGCCCCCGAGGTCCTCAGGAATTGTTTAATGTCGCAGACAGGACGACGATCACAGCCAGTGGACAGTTCAGATCCCCGCGATAAATGTTTATAGACGGTCTGGTAAGTGTCTGCATAGGACTGGTCAGTCCGCATTCCCTCTATCAGCACAGCAAACAAAGCAGCATGCCCTGCGTGTACTACTCCCAAGGGTTGGCATGGTGGCCGTGACCCGTGCTTCGACCAGGGCCCTTCAGAGGCACGGGGAAGAATGTCGTCTCTCGAGGTAGAGCGCTCACGACTCCTCGCTGAAGAGAGGGCACTCAAGGTTGGATTCACTTCCTCACGGTGCGAAGAGATTGAGAGGGAAGATAAGGTAAGGGAACAACGTACCTGGAGACAGCTGTCCCCAACCACATATTTCTCACCAATGGAGCCAATGTGCATTTCGATGACCGGTCGTAGCTTCGGTACCACCCACAACACAATGCAGTGCCACCTCAGCCAAAATGCCACATTAGCATGCTCTCATCATCACACATACATCGATGTATCCTCACTGCAAAGAAGCATCGTCAGTGCACCAAGTAACGATGTCACCGGCGGCAGATAGGTGATCTCGAACCAGCTCCGATACCAAATTGCAAGGAATATGAGCGAGAGCGATATACAGAAAACCAAGTTGTAAAATCACGAAGAAGTCCAGATTGTCATGTAACAAGCAGAGAGCTCAAATGCACCAAGATTCCATCCAAATAAGAGCAATACAATGAACTCGTGAGCCAATGTTCAAGCCCTCAGGCCACACGAGCGGAGTATTCATTGCCGCTCCTCTCTGTCTGGCGCCCAGTGCCCATCCTACTCCCTGTCCTCGACTGCCTCATCACCCCCTGTCCACCCACTTCTGCGCCGCCTCCTGAAGACCACCGTCGCCCTCCTCTGCCCTCACGCCCTGCGACCCGGCTATGGCCACTAGCGTCCCGCTGCCCTGCAGCGCCCCTCGTCTCTCAGCGCCCGCGCGGGCTCCAGCCGATGCTAGCATATGCAGACGCTTGCTAGCGCAGCAGCGTGTCCGCAATGTCCGCCTAGGCCAGAGTGCTCTTCCCTGGCTGGCTTGCTTCCTATATGGAATTGACAGCTGCTGCTGGACTCCCTGGGCCTGGCCGTGGAAGTTCCAGTAGCTCAAGGTCGGGCCCCAGTGTCTGCGCTCAGGCCCATCTCAACTGTTGAAGGCCTGGGACCTTTTCAGTTGGGCACACCCAGCATTTTCCAGACGCCGAATGTTTGCTGCATTTGCACCACGGGCCCACGGGGTAGATACAAGGACAATGCTGCTTGCTCGCTGGCCCATGGCCACTTTATGATGTGTCAGCCTCACAATGTGTCTGCCCAGGGCACAACCACCCGGGCCCTGGGCTCAACTGCCTGGCGCAGTTGCTTCTTCTGGAAGAGCCCAGGGTAAGGCTCAGGTTGCACTTCAACCAACTGTCGTGCAGCAACTGTCTGAGGCCCGCATTGGAAAATGCTGAGATAAGGGCCTCTCGAGGCTCTCGTGAATATTCAGGCCCGCCTTCACTTAGGGCGGGAACGAGGCTTGCTGGGGGGGGCACATTTCAGAACATAAGCATGTTGTCTAGGGCCCCCTGAGAACAGAGTCCTCACACAATGAGCTCGTGGTTTAGGTTAGTGTTTTTTGTTGCACTGAACTTGCTGTTTAGGGCCCTTTGGTAGGCACTAGCGTTGCGACTATGATTGATTTCTGATGCTTGCTTTGATCTGCAATGTTTTCAGTGAATTGCAGTACACAGTGCATGAGGTGGAGATGCGGCGTAAGCGAACGCCTCCGCAGTTGCCCACACAGATGGTTGTAGAGCGTTTTGCGGATTCGAACAACCGACTACTTGTTCTGGTACGTCATACACAAGCATCACCCAGTGTGGCTGTGTCAACAAGTCTGATGAAGCAAACTTAATTTGTGCATTGATTGCAATGAAATCAATGGTTCGAGGCCCCTTCGTCCACCCTGACGCTCCCTCCCTCCCTCTCTCCCTCCGTTCCTCCCGCCTTACCCTACCCTTACCCAGAAAAAGTGATGAGAGAAATCTGCGTCATGGCGGTATTGAACAGTGTGCGTAAGAAGGGGCATTGCACCGGCCCTGCTAGTCGCTTCGGGGTCGACTGGTTGTAAGTATCTGCGTAAGGTAATCATCGCCTGGCATTTCGGGTGTCCAGTTATGGACCATGTTATTAAAGAAATTAGTGGATCTCGTCTGAATGCAGCTGGTCCAGGAAGTGTCCAAGACTCCAAATGTTTTTAGTTACAGACCACGTTATTAAAGAAACTCCTGTATCTCGTCTGAATGCACCTGTGGTCCAGGAAGCGTCCAAATCCATGTAGAGTGTTGTGTAGTGGAGTGAGGCCCCTATCCCCATAGGGGTATTCTTCTGCTGTTGTCATAACGATTGTTCCTGTGCATGCGACAGAGTTCCATGGCTCAGGATAACTAAGATTCACTGCGCTTATCCTTTCTTGTTGTCACTGCTGTGAATCTATCCTTTATTTTGTCACTCTACTTAGCATCTCACACCGTGGTGAATCTGCAGCAGCTGCAACTGTCCAGCAAAGGGGAGAAGAAAGTAGGAGGCACTTCACTCTCGTAGTGTGGCTGGTTCAACTCCAAATGAGATCCAACAAGGGAAAACTTCAAAACAGAAAATGCAGTGGACTCCAGGAATTCCTTCAACATCCTTGACAAATTTTGTTGCAAAATTCCACTGATTTGTTTGTGTAACAAATTGTTTAGGAAGGGAAGTAACGTTGTACCTGCTGCCTGCGGGCTGCTGAATGGTGCTTGACGCTGTTGATGAACAGTTAAAGGGCCTCACTCCACCACACCACATGCACAAAAGACAAACAATATAGCGGTGTATCTTGCCATGTTCTAGTGGAAGGATCATTTGCATTTTGCACATTTGGTGAGTAGTGGATCGAGGCCCAATGAGTTGGAGTGCGGGGGGGATACATTGATGTTCAGCATCAATTATCCCGTAGCTTAGGGGGTACCTCCTTTGGTAGAAAAATAGGAGGGGAACGTGTATCTTTCCGTGTTCTCGCGGAAGATTCATTCTCATTTTGCAGATTTGGTGGGTAATGGAGCGAGGCCCAAAGTGCTGGGGGGATACGTTGATGTTAGGGGGTACCCCCTTCGGTAGAAAAATAGGAGGGGAAATAAAATCTAAAACCAAAAAAAAAGACAAATCTGGCCAAATGGCTAGTTGCTTATGGTTGGATGTCTGGCTTACCGGATGATGTGTGCAGGGTTTCAATGCCACGTTGACTCGGCCTGTGGAAGATTCTGGCAGGAGGGGTCCAGATCAAATCAAGGAGATGAAGCCAAGGCTGCACCCACTTTCCAGAGAATATCTTGACCTTCTAAGTCGGGACCCCAACACAACGATTGTAATTCTAAGTGGCAGCGAGAAGAAAGCTCTTGATAAGGTACTTCGCCTCGACTTGGCTATTTTTTTCTTTGTTTGTTTGATTGTTATCCCTCCCATTTTCTTTTGTTTAATTTGTTATCCTTGGTGGTATCCCCTCGTTGGCAGCGGGAGATCTTATGTGCATTGTGATGGATCGTCATCTTGAGTGCCCTGGTTTTCCATGAACCCTAAGGAAGGGCACCCCAAGGAAGGGCAGCGGGGCAGTGACCTTGTTTTTTTAAATGGGCGGTGAGCTTTTCTGTAGTCAGATGTCATCACTGACCGATGTGATACGTACCATTTGTAGATCTTGTGGGCTTAATTTATCAGATGTCATCACTGACGGTGAGATGTGTAACATTTGTGGATCTTGAGGGTTTTCTTGGTTGACTGGTTGATTATGTGCCCCGCTCCCTCCCTCACTCTCTCTCTCCCTCAGATTTGTCTTGTTCCCGATGAGATGTCTAACATTCATGGATCTTGAAGGCTTTCTTGGTTGACTGGTTGATTATGTGGCCCCCTCTTTCCCTCCCTCCCTCAGATTTGTATTGTTCCCGGCCATTCTCGTATGGGGTGAACTCGCCTTGGCAAAATGAGGCTCGGAGGTTGTTGTGTGGTCTTAAGCGCTCATTTTGACTATACGCAATATATGTTTGTTTTTGTCTGATCATCGTGGTTAGAGTCGGATTTCAGGCTTGGGTTGATGGGATGTGAATTGTTGATGCTTTGGGCTGACCCGGATCCAAATGCGGCTGTGTGGTACTTTCGGCAATGGTTGCAGGCCTTCGGGGGACTCAATGTGTGGTTAGCGGCGGGGAATGGCATGTTTTTGAGGCATGCAAGGAATGACAAGTGGACGGCAATAATGCCTGAACTGGAGGGGGCAGATTTGCGGGAGAGCGTGCAGGTTGCTCATGCCACTCCTTTGACCCACCCTACCAACCTTTGCGGCCGCAGTGGAAAGCCCGTTCTACGGGGTGATAGGATCTCTCACCACCATTCTTCTATCGTAATCGTCCTCCTGTGTTTCCTATTGGGCATTTTATGGAAACTCCTCAAGGTTGGTGATGGAGCCACTTGCTGGCTCATTCACTGCCCTTCCAGTTGCCTGCTGTGGCTCATTCACTGCCCTTCCAGTTGCCTGCTGTGGCTCATTCACTGCCCTCTTTCGATGCCTCATCATCCGTGATTGTCTACTCTCTTTTGCTCCCTTGCAACTTGCAGAGGACTCTTTGCTTCGTTCATGATTGTGGTTGCCTGATACCGTTCAATTTTTTCTGTACGTGTACCTTTTCCCTGTACATGGATTCCCTGTTCAAAGGACTTTCATCATTCTCGTGTCCCCAAACCCTTCTCCCTCTTTCCCCCCCCTTTTTCCCCCCTTTCCTGCCTCCCCCTTTTCTTTCCCTCCCCTCGCACCCCCACCCCTCCCTCTCCCGCCGCTTTCCTTTTTCTCGCTCTATTTGAGTGTCTTTGTTGTTATAATCTCACCAAGATGTATGTCAAATTGCCATTGAGTTAGTTTCATTTTAATCGGTAGTACTGGTCTGAATGTCATGAAGGTTTTTGACGAAACCTAGCCAGGTGATGAAAGGAAAATGGAGGTGTAATAAAATCTTATAGATGAATACACCTCCACTTTCCTTCCAGTTTATGTTGGTATATGCTATTCTCTACGAACATACAACGGAAGGAAAGTCGATGCGTATTCTTCTAGAAGATGTTATTCTTTTATACTATGTTTCTCGATGGCCGTGGGATTGATTGCTGGACTATCAACGTAAGCAGAGGTCAAACACCTTTTTCTGGGCAATAGCTACTCCTAACGCATCAACAACCTGAACCAAGATAGATCTACCTACAGGGACATCTATAAGAGATCCATTATGTTTCACCAGAAGGTCCTAATGCATCAACAACCTGAACCAAGATAAATCTACCTACAGGAACATCTATAACAGATCCATTATGTTTCACTGTTTGGCTTTGACAGCGCCGCCTCCTTTAATGACAGTATCTCTGCCCAAAAGCCATAATTATATCACTAACCAAAAGCCATGGTTCCTTCTCCCTCTCATTTTCTAGATTCAATGCCAGTGTTTTTGATATACAGGTTTCCCACTCATTGAGAGTTTTGGTGAGGTTTCACGAACTAGGTGCTTTCACTTGATTGGTGATGAGATTTCACAAAGTAGGTGCTGTCACCTGATTGGTGATGAGATTTCACAAAGTAGGTGCTTTCACCTGACTGATGATGGAGTAGCAGGGGTCTTTTATGACAGAAGGACAATACAGCGAGTACGAAGGAAAGGGAAGGTGGAGTTGCAACTCACAAGTCTGTGCCAGCTTTTCCTTTTTTTTTTTTGTGCCAGCTTTTCCTGACTTCTCTGGGATTGTTGTATGAATTGGACATTTTTGTCTTTTTGTCTATTTTGTCATTTTCTATATTTTAGCCTGTTTTCGAGTACTTCTCCAAGCGGACTCCTGGATCGTACCTGGAGTCGCGAGAGACATCATTGATATGGAACTACAAGTATGCAGGTGATTATTATGATTGCACTTGGTCTAAAAATTCACATTGGTAAACTCCTGCGCTTCGTCGAGAATTCACACTTTGTCTAAAATTCACATTGGATTTTCCTTTCCCGGTTTCCTGTGAGGTCTGTTTTGTATTTGGTATGGATGCATGAAAGTTGATGGAACTATTCATCATTCAGACGATTATTCATGTCGCACTTTGTCAAGTCCATCAACAATATACATTGGCATTGGAATATTCCTGTTTTTTTCTGGGTTAGGCTGACGCCCGGTCCAGACGGACGTGGGGGGTCCGTCAGGCAAAACCAGATGAGCCAGGATTTTTTTTTTTTTTTTTGAAGACGGGTTTAGACTGCGCTCGCTGAAAGGAGCCCAAATCCGCAGAGAAACTTGGGGAAGGCATGTTTTTTTTTGGT